ATATAGTTATTTATTTAGGTAGGGTTCCCGAGACCTGACAGAAGTTTTCAGGGTTCCACCATGAAAAGTGCTGAACGAGACCATAGGAGCGATGCAGACTACAAAATAGGGGAATTCACCCCTAAATACATTGCTGAAGCTTCCTACTCCATTTCTGTATTCTGTGCTGCTGGCATGTCTGCTGGGACTCTGCTGATCTTCAGCCTTGGATCGGCTCAGGAGGTTTGTTTGATGATGGATGGAGAAGTATTGCCCGGGGGCCCCAATGAGGTTGTCAGTTCCACCCCTGGTATCGGCATGCTGTGCCGGTTTATCAGTTTTATGTTGGCGGATTACGCCTAGAAATGGGACTAAAACCGTTCCTCCCTTTGTGCTCCGGCAGTTCTCAGGAAGTCATATTGGCGCTCTCGTGTGTACCAACTCTTGGATGGGATTCAGTTATGAAGGAGAAAGAAGCTCACCGAGGGGCAGGAACATCAGCACATTCTACAGCTTCACATCCCTTCATGGCCGGACCTCATGGCAAAGAAACAGACAGATTTTGTGAAAAGCCTTGGAGGCCGCGAAACTCCAGTATGTACTTATATATAATTAATTTATTTATATGAGGTGCTTCTATTCACTAGAATATTCAAAATGTGTAGAACCGACCTTTCTCAACCAAGCGTTCCTTCACAAAATGAGCAAATTCCTGCCTCTGATATGTCAACCACTGACAACCAATGGACATTCTACCCCACTGACCCCCAATGTAAGGGACATTCTACCCACTGACCCCCAATGTAAGGGACATTCTAATCCACTGACCCCCAATGTAAGGGGACATTCTACCCACTGGACCCCCATTGTAAGGGATCATTCTTCCCACTGACCCCCAATGTAAGGGACATTCTTCCCACTGACCCCCAATGTAAGGGTACATTCTTCCCACTGACCCCCAATGTAGGGGACATTCTACCCACTGACCCCCAATTGTAAGGGACATTCTTCCCACTGACCCCCAATGTAAGGGGACCTTCTTCCCACTGACCCCCCAATGTAAGGTACATTCTCCACCTAAGGACCTCCTTTTTCCTCCCCTCCCACTGACCCCCCAATGTAAGGGACTATTCTTTCCCACTGTTCACCAATGTAAGGGACATTTCTACCCACTGACCCCCAATGTAAGGGACATTCTTCCCACTGACCCCCAAATGTAAGGGACCATTTCTTCCCACTGACCACCCAACTGTTAAGGGACATTCTACCACTGACCCCCAGATGTACAGGGACATTCTTCCCAACTGACCCTCAATGTAAGGGACATTCTTCCCACTGACCCCCAAGGTAAGGGCCATTCTTCCCACTGACCCCCCAATGTAAGGGGACATTCTTCCAGCTGACCCCCAATGTAAGGGTCATTCTTCCCACTGACCCCCCAATGTAAGGGAGACATTCTTCCCACTGATCACACAATGTAAGGGACATTCTTCCCCACTGACCCCAATGTAAGGAAATTCTTCCCACTGACCCTCCAATGTCAGTGACAATTCTTCCCACTGGACCCCAATGTAAGGGACATTCTTCCCACAGAACCACTAATTTAAGGGACATTCTTCCCACTGAACCCCAATGTAGAGGGGACATTTCTTCCCCACTTGACCCCCACAATTGTAAGGGACATTCCTTCCCACTGCACCCCCAATGTTAAAGGGCATTCTTCTCACTGACCCCAATGTTAAGGGACAATCTTCTCATCTGACCCCCAATGTTATGGGACATTTCTTCCCAGTAACTACAATGCCCATCATGCCTCTGCTTCTGAGAGTCCTGCCTGTTGACTGGCAGTGTCTTGGCCAAGGGGGACTGGAGTGTCGAGGTTTCCTACGCTTTTAAACTACTACTCAATAGAAGCGAGAGGGTCCATAGGTCTTCAACACTCATTGATACCGGATGTTCCCCTACCCCTGAGCTACACCTCAATAGTAGAGGTTACTAACCTTTAAACTACTCATCGATATACCAGAGGTTCCCTACCCATGAGGTACTCATCGATACCGGTGGTTTCCCTACCCCTTTGAGGGTACTCATCTAATATGCAGAGGTTCCCCTACCACTCAAACTACTCATTGGTTACTAGGAGCGTTCCCACACCTGAGGTAACTTTTCTTTACCATCGAGGTACCATTCATCGATACCGGAGGTTCCCTTCCCCTGAGCCATCTCATTAATACCGGAGGTTCCCTACCTTCTGAGCTAGCTCATCCCATAGCAGAGGTTCCCTACCCCTCAAATACTCCGTTGATACAGAGGTTCCCTTCCCCTGGAGGTACTCATCTATACTAGAGGTTCCCTCCCCTGAGCTTACTCATCAATACACAGAGGTTCCCTACACCTGAGATTCTCATTAATACCATAGGTTCCCTTCCCCCTGAGCTACTCATCAATACACAGAGGTTCCCTACCCCTGAGATTCTCATTAATACCTTGGGGTTCCCTTCCCCTGAGGTACTCTTCTCTATACCAGAGGTTCCCTCCCCACTGAGCTAATCATCAATACCAAGAGGTTCCCTACCCCCTGTTATTGATAACTATGATACTGGTATTGATACTGGAAGGTTGCCTACCCCTGAACTACACGTTAATAATCAGAGGTTGCCTATCCCTTCAACTACTCAATGATACTTGAGGTTGCCATATCCTCAAATACTCATGGTACTGGATGGAGTTGCCTATCCCTTCAAAATACTCATTGGTACTGGAGGTTGCCTATCCCTCAACTACTTATTGATAGTGAAGGTTGCCTATCACTTCAACTACTTATTGATATTGAAGGTTGCCTATCCCTCAACTACTTATTGATATTGAAGGTATGCCTATCCCTCAACTACTTATTGATATTGAAGGTTGCCTATCCCTCAACTACTTATTGATATTGAGGTTGCCTATCCCTCAAACTACTGATTTGATATTGGAGGATGGCTCTATCCCTCAACTACTCATTGATATCGGAGGTTGCCTATCCCTCAACTACTCATTGGTACCGGAGGTTGCCTACCCCTCAACTACTCAGTGATACCGGAGGTTGCACTATCACCTCAACTACTCATTGGTACTGGAGGTTGCCTATCCCTCAACTTCTCATTGATTGATACCGGAGGTTGCCTTATCCCTCAACTTACTCATTGATACCGGAGGTTGCCTATCCCTCAACTACTCATTGATTACCGGAGGTTGCCTATCCCTCAACTACTCATTGATACTGGAGGTTGCCTACCCTCTAACTACTCATTGCTAGTGGGAGGTTGCCTATCCTCAAACTACTCATTGATTACCAGAGGTTGCCTACCCCTCATTGCATATTGGTACCGGAGGTTGGCCATACCCCTCACTGATATTTGGTACCGGGAGGTTGCACTACCCCTCACGGATATTGGTACCCACCCCTGGAGGTTGCCTACCCCTCACTGTTATTGGTACTGGAGGTTTCCTAGCCCTCACTGATATTGGTACCGGAGGTTGCCTACCCCTCACTGATTTATGGTACGGCGGTTGCCTACCCCTCTCACTGATATTGGTACCGGGTGGTGGCCTACCCCTCACTGATATTGGTACCCGTGAGGTTTGCCTTACCCCTCATTGGATATTGGTAACGGGAGGTTGCCTACCCCTTCACTGATATTTGTACCGGAGGTTGCCTACCTCTCACTGATAATGGTACTGGAGGTTGCCTACCCCACAATGATATTGGAACTGGGAGGTTGCTCCCCTCACTGATAGTGGTACTGGAGGTTGCCTACCCTCTTGATTGATTGGTACTGGGAAGGTTGCCTACCCCTCCTGGCCTCACTGATATTGGTACTCGGAGGTTGCCTACCCTCTCACATGATATTGGTACTGGAGGTTGGCTCTACCCCTCACTGATACTGGTTACTGGAGGGTTGCCTACCCCTTCACTGATATTGGTTACTGGAGGTTGCCTCCCCCTCACTGATATTGGTACTGGAGGTTGCCTTACCAATCATGATATTGCGTACTGGAAGTTGCCTACCCCTCATTGATATTGGTTACTGGGAGGTTGCCTACCCTATTGAGTATTGGTGACTGGAGGTTGCCTACCTCTCCAACTGATCTTGGTAACCGGAAAGGGGGAGGTTTTGCCCTTAAAAAACCCCGCATTGATATTTGGTACCAGGAGGTTGGCCTACCCCTCAATGATATTGGTTGCACTGTCAGGAGGATGGCGGACCATATATGAGTATGAGGCGTTGAACAAGGCAGCAGCTGCTAGGACTTCTGGCTGACCTTTGACCTCCTCGATAATTAAAGCGAAGTGTTTTTCCTAAGACAACATAATAATATTTACAGTCAGGTCCATAAATATTGGGACATGGACACATATTCTAAAACATTTTTTGGCCTCTATTACACCAGGATTGGATTTAAAATGAAACAAACAGATGTGGCTTTTAACTTGCAGACTGTTAGCTTTAATTTGAGGGTATTTAAATCCAAATCAGGTGATCGGTGTAGTAGGGAAGTACAAAAGTTATGCAAATGTGCCTCCCACTTGTTTAAGGGGACAAAAGTAACGGGGACCAACTGGCTTCTCAGTGTTCCATAGTGACAGGTGGGGTCTGTGTGATTCCCTCGGGTATTATCCAATTACAATGAGCAGATTAAAGGGTCCAGAAGTTCATTTCAAGTGTGCTATTTGCAGTTGGAATCTGTTGCTGTTCAACTCTCAAGATGGTGACCACAAAGAAGCTGTACTATCAGTGAAGCCATCATTAGCTGAAAAAACCAAAACAAACCCATCAGAGAGATAGCAAAAAACATTAGGCGTGGCCCAAAACAACTGTTTGGAACATTCTTTTAAAAAGAAGGAACGCACGGATGAAGCTCAGCAACACCAGAAGACCGGAGAAGACCACGGGAAAAACTAACTGTGGTGGGATGAGCGAAGAATTGTTTCCCTGGTGAAGAAAACACCCTTCACAAACCGTTGGCCAGATCGAAGAACACCCTCCAGGAGTTAGGTGTATGTGTGTCAGAAAGTCACCAATCAAGAGAAGATTCCCCAATGACACAGAGGGTTCACCACAAGATGGAAACCATTGGTGAGCCTCAAAAACAGGAAGGCCAGATTAGAGTTTGCCAACCGACATGTAAAAAAGCCTTCACAGTTTCTGGAACAAACATCCTATGGAGAGAAGAACCGACATCAACTTTTACCAGAGTGATGGGAAAGAAGAGTATGAGAAGGAACGCTAAAGGTCCTCACATAACCACCTCATCATGATCATGGTGGTGTAGTGTCATGGCGTGGGCATGTATGGCTGCCAAGGGAAAACTGCTTCTCTTGATTTATTGATGATGTGACGGCTGCCCAGAAGCAGCCGGATGAATTGTGAAGTGTTTCGGGAATATTATCGGCTCATATTCAGCCAAATGCTTCACAACTCATTGGACGCTTCACAGTGCGGGATGGACAATGACCCAAAGCAGACTGCAAAAGACACCAAAGAAGTGGAATGTTCTGCAATGGCCAATAAACCTACCTGAATCCGATTGAGCATTTCACTTGCTGAAGACAAAATGAAGGGAAAGATGCCCCAAGACAAGCAGGAAACTGGAAGACAGTTGTAGTAAAGGCCTGGCAGAAGCATCACCAGGGATGACACCCATGCGTCTGGTGATGTCTTATGCATTCCACACTTTCAGGGCTGCGATAGACTGGCAAAGCGTTTTGCAACACCAGTAATTACAAAGATGTGAAGTTTGATTAAGGGAATTAATACTACTGAACCCATTAACATTTAGGTCCCTTAACAAGTGGGAAGGCACATATGCAAACTGTTGTAATTTCCTACACCGTTCACCTGATTTTGGAAGTAAAATACCTCTCGAAACTAAAGCTGACAGTCTGCAGTGTAAAACACATCTTGTTAGTGTCATTTAAATCCATTGTGGTGTATAGAGCCCAAAAATGTTAGAATTGTGTGTGTCCATGTCCCATATTTATGGGACCATGACTGTATAAATAAACGTTTAAAAAATATATTGATTATTCTAAAGAATGAAAAAAAATAAAAAAAAAAAATATTGTTTTTCAGCTTCTTCACCGGCCTCAGTCAGGACTGGTTCTCTTTAATTACCATTCTGTATTTCCCTAAATCCATTGTCTGGAGCATTCCCATTAAAAAGTGCCATAAAAGAAAAGTAAAGAAACGATAATGTCCTCGGCATTGAAATGTCGCGCGTCCAAGCTGCGGGCTCCATAAAGTGTCTCTTTATTTAGTTGCAGAATACTTTGGGTAAATTCAAGAATAAAGCGTTCTCCCAGATATGAAGCGGAGCTCCAGCAGAGTAAGTACAAATAAAAACCGCCGATGTTTCCTATTGTATGCCGCACTTTCAGGCGCCAACATAAAAGAGGGGCCCCCATTGTTCCATTATACGGAGACGGGCGTCTTTACAAATGAGGTTTGATTTTTCCCCAAAATTCCTCCGCTGAAATCACTTTTGTTCT